ACACAATGGACGAGTGAGAAATCCGACCGGCTCCCTCTGCATTAAAGCCAGGTTAGGTCAGGAGTCACAACACAAATGTTAAGAAGAGACATTTTGCCTTTCAACAAAGTCAAACCACCTTGGGAGCCACAACATTTAATGTCCAGTATGTGTTAATGTCGTAGTATGGGCTAAAAATATAAACAAGAGCGCAGATTTACTTCGCTCTGCTTTAAGCTTTAGCTTTTTCCTCCCATCTCTGCCAGAAAACTTTTCTTCAAAACTAGAAGAGTTTCTTGTAAAATGTCTCAGCATCCGGCTGTTTTATGAGGCTGAAGTCGCTTCTCATTCGCCAGCTTCTCGTTCTAATTTTCCCGTTTCACCTTAAATTCTGCCTTAGGTGCCGAATGTAACTGCTGCACCATTTAAGGTGGAACGGGAAAATATGAAAGAGAAGCGAGTTCATTTTCGCAACTTTTTTTAACTCTCGTTGCAGATTTAACCAACCGCGCTGCTTGTAAATGCGAATAAGTCCTCCAAATGTTCATCTTAATCTCTGTTTTTGTTCGCTCCTTGCGAGGCCAGACCTCGGGGCTATGTGACCTGCTGTCTGCTGTCTGTTCTCGGTCGTTGAGAACCAGGGCTTTCGCGCTATGCTGCACACTGTGGAGCCGAGATTCAGCGTCCAGTCTCGAAAATACCCCCCCCCACACACACAACGAGACCAAAACTGAAGTTAGAAGATCACTAAAGAAAACGGGAAGGATGGCTGTAATGCGCTGCGTGGACACCCATTACCACTGGATCTTATTTCAGGGTAACAGCGCATTTTATCGCAGATGAGTGGCAGCAGTGTCTCTGAATGATTTATTAATAAAAGATATTTTAGATATTTAAAGCAAAGTATTATCGATGCATCGATAATCGTTTTATAATCGCATCGCAGCCCTCTGAATCGTAATCGAATCGAATCGTGAGGTGTCTAAAGATTCCCACCCCTATTACTGATTATGATTTTGAAGGCCTGTGTCTCACAGAAATGTGAATTAAAACTGAATAATACTTTGCTCTAAATGAAGCCACCTTCACAGGCTACGGTTATGTACACAGGCCGAGTGGAGGCATAGCAAGTATTTATACAAATGCTGTAGGCTTTAATCAAAAATCATGGCTGCAAATTCGCTCCTTTTGAAATTATTTTTCTTAGTAAGTGATTGAGCTACAAAAAAATAATTTTCACTAATCACAATCTACAGTTCACCAGGGCCCTATTCTGAGTTCTTAAGGAATTTGCTGACTCTCTGCCAAGTACAATAACGCTCTAGAATAAAGTAATAATTATCAGAGATTTTAATATTCACCTTGACTTGCTGAAGTAAAGCATTTGTATCTATGTTAGACTCTGAGACTGTTGGTTTCACTCAAAAATATAATGGGGCCCACTCATCACTGCAAACACAATCTATTTCTTTTTTTTTTTAGCTCATTTAGCCATTCTCCCCCAGTGGGGAGCAGTCTCAGATCATTATCTAATCTCATAAGTAATCCGATTTAGTCTTAATATGTAGTCATCCCTATCCAATTGTGTGAAGCGTGCTGCAACATCCTCCACAGCTAGTTGCTTTACTGAAAACCTCTCAGATCTATCAACTTCTATTAGCTGTCCATCTGAACCTACTGAATTAAATATTATGACTGAGTGCCTAGAGCACACTTTTTGTTCTAGCTTAGATAATGTGGCTCCACAAATTCTCCAAGGTAGAACAAGTACAAAAATAGGGCAGATAAAGCTTGCCCCATGGTACAATGATCACACTTGAGCTCTACAACAGACTGTCAGACAAGAGTGTAAATGGCTCCTGACTAAACTTAAAATATTCTAATCCACCTGGAAGACCTCATTTCATCCCCTTCATGTGCAATGTGTCCTGGAATGACAAAAAATTAATTTGAATCTGAGTCTAAATCTGAATCTGGAAGGATAGCCTAATAGACTACAGAAGGGCACACTCAACCTATCTCTCCTTTCTGAAATTAATAAGAATAATAAAGTTTTTAGCACAATTTTTAAATTAATGAAGAACTAAATAGGTACTGAACTCTAAATGCCATTGGCCCACAGCAGCAATGATTTCCTGAACTTTTTCAGTAATAAAACTGAAACCATTAGGCAAAAATTCAAAACACACAGTTAACCGCCACAAACCTGCTGCCCTACCAAGCCAGTCCAGACCTTGAGTACAGTGTGACTACTGCAAAGAGGCTGAAATCCTTCATCATACTTCAACAAACAGAGCTGGTCAAAATTATTTCCTCCACAAAACCTTATACTTGCATACTAGATCCAATTCCTCCATGTTTATTTATTATATTTATTATTTAGTATATTAAGTGTCTTAATACCTCAGAAAGGCCACCACTGTCTAAAATTTGCTGATACCAGTATCATGGTTCAGTTATAATGGATCTGCAGATGCATCCTCTAGTTGAACTGTATAAAGAGTCCTAAAACGCTCACTTCCTTTGTTATCACTTCTGCAGCCTGCCTTTTGCATTCTGTTGAATTGTGAACCTTTTTTTCTGCAAAGAAAATAAAACCTACAAAGACAATCTGAGTGTTGAAGTCTTTGTTTCAGACTCATACCAAAATAGAATAATTTTCCACAACAACACAGGCATGACATTTAACATACTAAACAAACCAGACAAGCAAACAGACTGTTAAGTATTTAGCTAAGGAAAATGTAAAGAAAAATACAATAAATACAATAAAGAATAATAAAGTTTTGACATGTGAACAGGTCAAAGAAGTGAACAGTGGTTCAGGCAAAAATCATGGGTCTCAGTCTGTTTCTAAGGCTGTTTTCACAACTAGTTAATTTGCTAAAGTTTTGGGTTTTGGTAACATTGTATTTTTTGGATGGGTTGGTTTCACATTGCAGTGGTTAATGTGTACCAAATTGTACATTTAAGATCCAGTGAAAGATCCAAATCTATCCCTCAAATATATTCATGATTAAATGTATAATCCTACCTATTACACTACATGAAAATAGGCCTGATTCAGTCTGCTGTTGGTGGGGATGCAATTTTTACAATGGTCTGATTCAAATGGTAGAATTCAACACCAGAGTATGCTTTCCTCAGTGCACTGTTTTAACATTTTGCTTTTTCACAAATGCTCATATTGTTCTTGCAGCGCAAGCTGCTGATAATAATGGCTGACAAGCAATAAAATAATAGCAAAAGATGCTTTGATTTTGACACATGCAGCATATTTTTGGCCAAGTATCTGCAACCTGACTGGTTAAATTCAAGTTGGTTAACCAATCAAAAAGAATCAGATATTAAGTAAAGTTTATTATTATTGCTTTGATGATGATACACATGGACAATAAGCAACTTTTTTCAATGGTGGAAAATGTAAGAGTAACAGAGCACTTGTATCCCTGCAAAAGTTCTGACCAAGTAGAAACAAAGCTACCTGACGTTCTTCAGAGATTTTAACTAGCAGTTTTTCACCGTGATACAGTCCTGTTGTTTTATCTTTATTTTCAGTATTGTATATTATTTGTAAAATAATATTGTTTATTCATATTGCTCTTGTTGTGTTATTGTTTTGCTAGTCAGTGTTGACCTAAAAAGGTTTCTTCCTCTTGCTGTTAGGGAGTTTTTCCTTTTCCATTGTCACCCTTTGTTTACTCACTGGGGTTTGGACCTGGATTTTCTGTAAAGCTGTTTTGTGACAACATTGTAAAAAGCAATATATAAATAAAATTGGAGTTTACTCTGAGCAACAACACACAACTTTCTTGACACATGAAAAGTTTTACTTATGTTCTGTGACTCAAAATCAGGGACCTTTGCCAAGAGGACAGATATGTAAAGGCAAAGATGAAGAGATACTTAGATGCTTATTGACACGCCTCACATCATGGTCTGTTTCTGGGTGACACAGGATTCTGTCATCACGCTATCACACCAAACTATACACTATGTCAATAGTTAGAACCACCATAATCACAGCTGTAAAAGATGAACAGGCCATCACAAGGAATGAAGGAATTATTCAAAAAGCTTAAAACCAAGACAAAGAACTCCTCACATGCGTTGGAAGAGCCTGACAATGATGCAGTTCACTGACCTACCCCGTCATCATTATGCCTTCATGCAGGTACTTCCTTAGACACGTCCCCTCAAAAACGTCCCCTTGCCTACCTCAAGCATATCCCATTCCACTCTTCTGGAGTGCTTTGAACCAAATTTTGGAATGTGTCAGTGGGAATTTGTGCCAATCCAGTCAAAAGATTGTTTGTGAAGTCAGGTACTGATGTTGGATGAGAGGGCCTGGCTTACAATCATTCCAAAACATCCCAAAGGTGCAGGCCACAGTTCCTCCACATCAAACTCATTAAGCCATGTTTTTAGGAACCTTGTTTTGTGCACAGGGACATGTGATGCTGGAACAGGACAGAGCCTTACCCAAACTGTTGTCACACAGCTTGAAGCATATAATTGTTTAAAATATCTTTGTATGCTATAGCATTAACATTACCCTTCATTATAACTGCACCCTACACCATTATTCCTCCTCCACAAAACTTTATTGTTGGTACTATACGTTCTGGAAGGTAGCATTCTCCTGGCATCCATTAAATCCAGATATGTCCATCAGACAGCCAGATAGTGAAACCTGATTTATCACTCCAGAGAACATGATTCCACTGCCCCAATTTCCTTCTTCTTAAATATATTGCTTTTAAGTTAAGAAACACACTATCCTTACAAGATACGGAAAAATCTGTCATGGGGTCTGTTCTCTTTGAAGGGAAAGTTGTGCAAACAGGAGAGGGTTGTGAAAAAAAACAGTGAAGATACTAGGAATGGGCTGATTACATATTCAATTTGATTTACTTAAGTTTTATGCAATTTTGCATTCATTATACTATGAATTATTCTCACTCTCTTAAAATTACGTACAGTTTAAAAGCTTCCAAAGCAAAAAGGTAACTCTACTATACCTTGTCAATCATGCACCTGGCCTCATCTTCTTCTGTATTACTATTTCCCAGTTTAATGGTGTAGGTTCCCCTCTCACTTTGGTCATCTGCCTGACCCCTTTGAGGGCCTTCGTGTTGTTTGCCATGCTGTCTGTTGGTCACGCATGGGGACGAATGTTTCCTTGTCCGTTCCACCTCATTCTCCACTGGAAGCATCTTTTTTGAAAAAGGTGACTGTTTGCTCTGGAAGAGGTCTCCTCTGCTGCAGAATGTCGATTGGCCTCTGTCCTGTAGGGATGCTGTTTGGCTGCTGAGCTGCTCACTTAAGGCATTCTCTGAGTCACTCTGAGTACCATCCTCATGTTTACTGCCTGAGGGTAAACAGTAGAAAGCATGAGATAGACATGAATAACAGGAACAACAATCATTTGAAATGTGATCTATCTCACTGTGCAGAAACAAATAATTCATTTCTTAATCTGAGTGTACGTTTCTCAGGGTAAGATCACATGAAAAACACTGTTCACTCTTTTTCTCTCTCTTTGTACACCCCATGAAGTGTACCTCTGAGACTTCTTATCTGGACAGGCACATCACTCTTCACGCTATCTCCATCATCGTCAGGTAAAGATTCTGTCAGTGCCAGTGGTAAATCATTCTGTGCAAGCCAATCCGCCACCTTCACCTCCGCTGCAACCATGGCAGCCTGCAGGGCAGTTAGCTCTTCCCCCGCTCCTCGCTTTGGCTGTGAACGATGCCCTTGTCCCCCCTTGGTGCTTCGCTCTTTGCCTTTGCTTGAAGCCACTGTGTTAAACTCAATGGTGAATGAGGCATGGCCATGGGTGCTGCCTTCAGGTACATGGTCAGTGGATATTGCTGCGGCTCCTTCTTCAGTTAAAGGGAAATTCTCACTAGTGCTCTCCAGTGAAATGGCTTCTTTACAGGGGATCTCAAAGTAACTGGGTTCTTGGGCTGCAGACGTCTGTGCCATGGTTGCAGGAACCTCCTGCGGCTTTACTATGATGTTACTGCCTGTGAGCTCACAGAGAGTACTTAATTAATTAATATGATGCACATAAGGTGCCATTAAGGAATTGCACTTATAGTATGTTAGGTCACCTGGTTCACACTTGAACTGTCTGGGGTCAGAGGCTTTTGTGTCATGCTTTTCCAAGTTTTCATCATCTGCATCCCCCCACCATGAAGGCTGTCCATACAGAGGAGTTCCTCTGGGTACCACAGCAACGTCTCCTGCTAAAGAAAACCCATTAGTTACATAAACTCTCTGTAAGCAGACAAGATTAAGTAAAGTGGACATCCAGAATGTTACAGACACATATTTGAAGAGATTGGACATTCTGCATATATCATGCTCCTCACCTGTTACCTTCTCTTCTCGTTTGAGTGATGGTTCCGGAGGTTTTCCTACTGCCTCTTTACCACCCTCAGCCCCTGCACTCTCAGAGTTTCTGTAACTGTCCACTGTTGAAGATGGCCTTTTAGCTATCTGAAGCTGACTAGAAAACTTTTCATGCTGAAACAACATTGAAAAATCATAATAATAATAAATGCATTTACTGTAAAATATCTGACTGTGAAAAAATGAAAAAGTACTTTAGTTTAAAGCAGTACTTCTTAATCCTGCTCCTGGTGACCCATGTGATCCACTGCTTTGCACAGTTTTAACTATTCCTTGTCCCAACATAGCTGTTCAATTTCCTGAACTGTTTAACAAGGCCTTTAAGAATTCATTCAGGTGCTTAGGGGTGGGGACTGGTTGAAAATAAGGCAATTGGTTCACTGAAACAGGATTAAGAAACACTGGTTTTGTAAGCCATATTTAACTATACCCTCAGTGCTTCTTCTGGTACATGCAGTTCTCCACGCACAACTGTGAACAGGTTAGTATGTGAGTATTATTAAGGACAAAACAAAGTGAGTATCTCATAAACTTACACTATCCTCTAGAATAACTGACACTTTGTCTGACAACTGGTCTCCTAATTTATACAGGAATTTTGTCAGCTTTTGTCCAGTAACCCATTTGAGCACAGCATGTAACGTGCTAAAACCACACAGACACACACACATTTTAAAACCAAACAACATATTTAGACTGATATAGGACATGAACTCAGGGGAGCCAGCAGTAATTTTGGGCCCCCTGAAATTTGACGCATGGGCCCCTTGCTTCAGCTCATTCACCTTAGCAAAACCTGTCACAAATTAAAAAGGTGCCAAATTTCCATAATAATTTTATTTGGTTATAGCTTCATAATTCCAAATCTTACTTTCACCAAACTGTCATCTCTAGCATGCAACAAACCAAACACTAGAGTCAACTGTTTTAGACCAGTATAGGACAAACACATATGTCACAACTAAACTCTCCACAAACATACTTGTATATCCAGCTATAGATCATGAACTTCAGTAGTGGAACAATGGTGATATTTGACTCTAGCCAAGGATTCTGACCTTGAGATGTTTTGCATAACAGAATAGTCTTAGATCTCTACTTTGTATTCTATGACCATGGCAAAGACACATTGGTGTTTTGGCAAAAGGGTGTTGTGGAAAGTACATTTTCAGATAAAAACATATGTTTTTGATGCTTTTACAAAAAACATTCTGTACTCAGCACTACAGGCATAGAACATTTCTATATGTTCATGTTAATATTATTTCGTTCATGCTAATTAAGAATTCCATGCTGGGAGAAACTGTGAAGTACACAGCGCTGAAAACAAAACATGTTTAGTAAGTCAGAGAACATATGTTGTAGGATAAGTCACATGAATAGGTAGGTTCTGCCATTATACATTTTGCAGCTTAAAGGATATCATAGCCGAATCTCAGCTTGTCGTCTATTTTTAGAGTGATATACTGCTGCTCTTGTATCCTCACATCATTTACAAATGTCTGTAGAGGGAAAACAGAACAGTCATATCATGAAATATCACAACATAGTGTGTAATTACCATTTCATTTTTCATTTTGTACATGGTCTCTCTTACCCCATTAAGACTGCCCAGATCTTTTACTTTATGTTCATCTGTAGCAGGTTCATAGTTGATGACAGCATGCTGCTTGTCCACGCTACGTGACTGCAAAGACAAAATGAAACAAACGCTTTAAATTCTACAGCTGAAGATTTCTGGTGACAGATGGAAATGTATGCTGAACTCCAACCATAGGATCTTTAAATGCAATTTCTCTCCAAAAGCTACACTAACCTCCGATACCAGTCATGAACATTATTAGATAGATTACTTTATTAATCCTAGAGAGAAATACTTCAAATATTAATATGTGTTTTGTAATATTTTTAATTATAAAAAAGAAGACAGTTCCTGGGGTCTCAGAGGACTGATATAAGAAGGTGTCCCAGCATTCAATTACAGGTAAATGAGGTTTACCTGAAGCATGAGCTCACAGTCATCCCGTCCCACAAAGATCATCTCCCGGGGAAGGCGGTGCCTTGTGCCCCCGCTACTCACCAGGAACCAGGAAGTCAAACTCATTTTGGATTTTCCTGTCCTCCTCTGTCACTTCTAATTTCTAGGACATACTAACAGAAAACATGAAAAATTAAGATATGTGCTCAAGTTCTGAATTTGAAATAAACAAAATACATTTAAAATAAAGACCACTGGTAATCATTACACATAGATTTATTAGCCTCATTTTAAGTATACAGTTTATGCAATGTATTTTTTAGGATTCAAGCTAACCTACTGGCCATGAGTGTAAATAGTGCATCAGAATTCCTACTCATTTCAGCCTGTCTATTTTAGTAACACAAATGTAGCAATACAAAAAACTGAATATGCAGAGTGTGAGCAAATTTAGAAAACATTGTGCAAATATATTGTGTAACAAACAAGACAGCGTTTGTCTGAATGTGCAAATATGAATAGGATAGGAGTTTGAGTCCCTATCAAATGAATTTAACAACAACAGACGGTGTAGTCAAAATTTAAGGCATTTTGTTGTGTCTCTCAATGCTACAATTCCAAACAAAAACCACCATACATGGGACTTTATCACTTCTCCACTGTGTACATTATGGTCAGGGTAAATTCAGGCAATTTAGTAGTTTAAGTAGTTTAAGAGTAAAAAGGTGAAAGGTGAATTGCAGCCTAACTTTGAGTATATATGAAATGAAATATTACGTAAATACAAATATTGCTGAGCTGAACAACTGCCCTCCCTGCGCAGTCTGATGCTGCTGCCTTATCTGCCTTGATCAGGTGTCCACTGCTTGCCTGCTTTCTGGACCAGTTTGACCACCATGAAGCTTCGTGCTGTACAACGCTGTGCAAATCTCATTTGTGTACCATTGACCATCCTGATGATACTGCTGTATGCACAGACTCAAACTATTTAATCACAGCCATTGCCAATGGTAAAATCTTATTCTCTGTTCACATTGCTATTGTTCATTGCTATTGTTCACATGTTATTGTTTTGCTATTCGGTGTCAACCAGAGAGGATGGGTTCCCCCTTTTGAGTCTTGATTCCTCTTAAGGTTTCTTCCACTTGCTCTTAGAGAGTTTTTCTTGCCACTGTCACCACTGGCTGGCTCATAGGGGCTCAGACCCGGATTTTTCTGTAAAGCTACTATTATTCAAATACATTATTATTTTTTTATGTTTATTTATTTTTATATCTTCTTGTTTGTGTTTTGCTGGCAGCTTGTTAAAGAATATGTGCAGTGTTAGGTACTGTGATCCATACTGTGTGTCAGACTCCAGAGGTTGCTGTTGCACCACAGTGTTAAGTAAAAGACATAGAAGAAAAAGATGTGACTGTGTTACCATGTAGTTTCTATGTCCCTGCAGCCAGTTGTGTTGGAATAATAAATCTGAATTCTTCATCCTTCCTGTCTATTTATTCACTGTACACAAGGACACAACAAAACTGGTGACAAGGAAACTGCATACAAAATACTGACCTGAATCAAGATGTGTGCCTCAAATGCCCCTTTTCCAACCCTGTTTCTTCTGTGTCCCGGTGAGCCTGCTATACCATTTACCACATTAATCTATTTGTTAATGCAATGTGTAATGACTGGCCCGAGGCACAAAAAAGAGCTCTTCTACTTCTTTGCCTGGAAACAGACTTTTTATACACTACCAAGGTGAACTCTACAGGTGAATCTCTTGAAACTGCCATTACAGCTCTGCATAACCATTTAACCTCTAAAGTTAATGTAGTAATAGAGAGGCATGCCTTTAGAAAACATGTTCAAACACAAAGCAAATCAGTGCTGCACTGTATAGCCACCTTAAGAGATCTGGCTTTAACATGTTAGTTTGAGGACAAAACATGAAGCTAGCAATCGTATAAGGGAGAGGTTGCTGCTAGAAATTGACTTAATGCTGTCTAAATCCATTACAATTGCAACCCAGATCAAGTCCCCTAGTAAACAAGCAAAGTCGGGGATCGGTCACTGCATGTGCAAGCTGTGCAGACAGTGAATGGGCAACACTGATGTCATGTCTGTCACCCTTCCCTGGGATTTCTGTGACTGGGAACGACCAGACTTGGCAAGTGTCAGAAAATAAGACTTTTCGCCTGAGTTTGTCACCCCATACACACACATTCTGTTCTGGGAAGATGCCTGAGTACACCATTCTTTACCTGAACGACCAAATATCATGGAATAAAATTCTCTGTCCTGTCACCATTCAAACACCTACTGCTGCTATGAAAATGGAATTATTGGTAGATGTCAGTTCATCCATCTGTCCTCCCTAAGTCTACTTACTTTGCTAACTTTAATGTCATACCTCTACAGCCACCCACGGTCCAACTGGTGACCTACTCACGTGAGCCAGTTCTTGTTTCCTGCCACTGTCTCCACTGGTGATGTCTTCTGCTTTGCTAGCATCTTCATTGTTGAATCTGGTTTTGCACTCCTTCGCATGGATCTAAGAAAGGGCTTACATCATTGGAAAGGGCTTACATCACTGCCTTACCCCTGTCTGTGCGAAATGCAATCTCTGCTGAGCTGAAGTGCTTACTTAGAGATGGCATAATTGAAGAAATTAATCACTTTACTTACCATTAAAATGGTGAATCGTGCTGTTATGCCTGTTGTAGTGCCTGGGAGGCATGCTTGCTTTGCTTTGCAATTATAATGTTATCTACCTCAATTTCACTGGTAACTGTTTGTCCGAGCCTGAAAACATGACCCAGCTGTCTACTACTCTGACTGCTGTGAGCTTGCTGCTGCTGACTGTGGCTGGACTTCTTCTCCCTCAAATATTCAGCCATCTTTGTGGTCGTTCTACAGGGTGAAACATGAACTCTCAGCTAAAGATGAGTATGTGTTCAGACAAGCGTGCCTCATTATTCCAGTTTCACTGTTCCATGCCTTAATAGCACTGGCCCACGAAGCTCACCAGGGCATTGTGCACACCAAGCAACAGTTACATGACCTATGCTGATGGCCTTGGATGGACGCAATGGTAAAAGATGATTAAACAAATTACTTGCTGTCTGCCTTCAGTCAGTGTCAGTCATCTGATAAAAGTGTTAAACTTTCACCTGGTCTCCTTCAACCTGTGCCGTTTCCAGCCAAGCCTAGGGTAAATGCTGGCTATGGATGTGGTGGGTCCATTTGAGGTCATTGAGATCTACTAATGAGCACTCATTAGTGGACTATCATAGTGAATGGCTCAAGGTTGTGCTTGTGCCTTCAGTAAGCATGCACTTGGTGATTAGCTTCCTTACAGCAGTCTTCAGCCGACATGGAAATCCAGAGTGCATTTTCATTGATAACGGGTAACAGTTTACCGCTTTGTCCTTGGCTTTCCTGAAACCACGAGAAATCAAGCACATATGCACACCAGTTTACCAGCCACCTACCAATGGGGAAATTGAATGCTTTCATTCTGTCCTCAAAAGCTGCACCCGCTCTGTCATTCTGCATTTAAAACACATTTCCATGACTGATCTCCACCAGGTCTTCCAACAACCCGTAATTCAATTAGTGGAGCCTCTCCATTCCATTTACTCCACAGCAGGAAAAGTGCACTCTAATCGACATCCTGACTTACATCGTCGTGGACGGCAAGAAACGGCATGCATCACACCTGGTACTCTCTAACAGTACAATCCTGGGAAAACACACACGGCTTAGTCACTTGCATAGCTGCTGCAAGGGGCGGAAAACAAACCTGTGACACCTCACACTTCACCCTGGCCTGAACGGGCCAGACACCCTTTCTTTCTGCTAAAAGATTATGTAAAATGATAGGGTATTGTTAGCAGACAGAACACATATAAATAAGTATAGTTGTTAAGAAGTTGGTATGGAGGTATGGAAGATGCTCTGAACTCTCATCTTTAGTGCCTTATTTGTTAGAACTCAATGCAATGTGTCCGCTTTAAGGCAATTACTTGTGAATGAGTTTTCAGTTAACCTAAAAAATCATTAAGTTATTGATTGATAACTAGTATTTTATTATTGGTTATTAAATTGGTTCAGTAATACTCTCTGAGCAGTATGTTGCTATTGAATTATTTCAGTAAACTGTTGTTTGGTAATTGGTTCCATTACTGAACTGCGCTGTTACAACATAGGTCAAATATTCTAATTATCAATAGTCTGTCTAGGATCAAGTGTTATTCCCTCTGAGCCATCTTTGCTACCCCTCTGCTCTGTTTTGACCTTGCAAGTTTTTAAATATAAACATACTGTTAGCTCTACAAAAGATCCTCTCAGTTTTAAAAACAGACTAACATCGTCATATTAACAAAAACATGGCTAAGACATTCTTTAGAAGTACTAGCATGAAAAAGAGGCTCACAGGTGGTGGTTAGAAGAAATGTAAATGTTTTGAGGAACAAGCTTTGTTTTCTGCTACTGACCCAAATTCAATGATCCATATTTCTGACCCAAATTTCATATTCCTTAACTCCATATTTAACATTTCAGACATCAGCATGTCTCTATACCATTTTAGAAAACCAAACCTGAGTCCCTGGCTCAGTCCTGAGATTTCTACCCTACAAAACTTGGACTCTTGCCAGACAAAAAGGGGATTGAGACAGCTGGCATACACTTAGGCAGTTAAGGAATAAATGTACCTCAGCTATTAGCAAAGCAAAATAGTTTATTGTTTCTTAATTACTCACTCTTCTTCAAACCCTCACAATTTTTGGAAGGCAGTAAATTCTCTTAAAAACAAATGATTTCCCATTCCAACTCATGTTATACTTGATGACCATTCAATTTCTGAACAAAATGAGCTCTGACAAACTTTCAGTGCAGATTTCTCTGCTGCTGGACACCTTTTCGTAATGACATTAATAATATATTTAATTTTAATGCATCTGTTTTAATCCCTGCTGTAAGCCAAGGTCTCTGCACACTCAACCCCTTTATTCCACATGTAGTAGCTAGAGCCCTTACCACTATTAACCCTTAAAATCTACTCTACCCCTGGTGACATTTTTGTTATTTCAGAACGTTTAGTAGATTTTTAATCTTTCTATTTTAACTTGCAGAATCCCCAGTCTCTGGAAAACAGCTCACGTCATTCCACTACACAAAGGAG